AGTTGTCTCTCCCTCACTTATGTCGTTCCCTGGCAGTGCTCATGATCCACAGGAAAGCGGGAAAGTGCCATTGCTCTGGTCCTCACTGCAGCATGCTATTTGCACAGAATTGTTTCCCTTCCCTTTTGGACAAGAAAGGCTGGGCAGTGATGCAGGTAAACAGTCTTCAGTCTTAATTGAGAGAGACTGCTAGGAGGCTGTTATCAATGATCCAGCACCAGCTCTGAATTTTTTTACTTGATCCTGGTTAGACAGAGTGAGTTGAAGGTTGTGTCTGCATTGGCATGGGGTAGACACGTTCCAATTTTGCATTTATTTTCTTTTCTGAAGGATGTGCCACACTTTTTCTATGATAAACTAAACTATCATGCGTTCATCCAGCGCATGGGTCTGACCAGGTTTTGGGGATAACTTTATACCTAGTTAATGTTCATCAAGCAACAGGCAGCCAGCCAATGCTGCTCTTCCAAATGGCACAGGAAAACTGTCTATAGTGACTGTATTCTACCACCTTTCCCAGCCATATCAGATGATGAGGATTTTTTTTGTCTCCACTTGTATAAAACGCACCTTTTACTTTCGATCCCTAATGCATTTGATTTCATTTAGGTGTATTGTGTTCTTGTAAACTACTGCTAAGGTTTTGGAGGTGATGCTATTTGTTAGGCAGGTACTCTGGGAAGATGGCAAGTTTCACAATTCCCTGGCCATCCTCAGAAATGTTGTTGCCAGTAAATAATAATAAAAAAAAAACCACCACCAAAAACAAAAATGAGCTTCCCTCAGGAGTTGGAGACCTTCAGGGATAACCGTATAGAAGAGGTTTTGGCAGCATGCCAGACTTGTGTTTCTTTGACAAGGAAATTGCCAAAAGAGGATCTGTGGAATAATTTTTTTCTTTCACCACATGAACACGGCACAATTAGGAGACATTCCTAATCGCAAGATTGCTTATATTTCTGTGTCTCTTTATGGTTGTCAAGACTCTAGTTTCAGGTGTTGGTTGAGAGTTTTCAGAAGTTAGAGGTGAAATTCTGGCACCTAATTTTAAGTGAGACTTCTACCTTCTGACTGCAAAGCACGTTAAGACACTTTTTCTCCAAGGGAAGATTAAGTCCAAGTGACCTTCAGGCACACGTACAGAACGTAAGATGTCCCAGCTCAATGTTTGAAGACGCTTGAAACTAATGAGGACACGAGTAGCCCCGAGGGGCGTTAACTTTGTGGTCTGGTTGCAGCTACACATTTTAAGTAATGCCTTTGTCTAGATACTCTTCTCATCATAAAGTAGCCTGTGAGAGAGGTGAATAGCTAATGTACAGTTCTGTATGTGGACTGTAAAATCCATCTTCTTAGATGGTAAGCAAGTGCGGCTGGGCTCTCGGTCCTTCACTTCTTGCTTTTGTTTCATCAGTGAATGCTGCATACAGAGTAGGTGGCTGAGTCTGAAGCATGTGTCTCTCATGCTATGATACCTAATTCAGCTCCTCAGTCCTTTATTACTAGCCACATTTGCTCTACCATTTAATCCATTTTCCCACGTTGTTATCCACTCTGCCGCACTGGCAACCAAAGGGACTAGACAGAGAAATTGCTTTTCAGACAACTTGGAATAAAAAAAGTCTTTTATCCGTAGTCCTGCTGCTTGTGAACAAATGCACAATGGACACAATTGAGACTGTTTGACATGTCAGGGGGTTATTTCTTTTTCTTGGAAAAACATCTAGTGTTCCCCTGTTTAAACCAAAGGAGAACATACATTATCTGTGTCCTGCTTTCTATTTCTTAAACAAAAAACAGCTGGTACTAGTGCTTGCCTTTACGAAGAGACCATCAGGAAGTTGAAATATCAAATCTTGGCTCTACTTAGTTGCCACGGTGATGTATAATTAACCAGGCTGCAGTGACGTTATAGAAAGTAAATGTAAGGAAATATTCTTGCTAATGGAAAAATTCAAACCGTAGTTTTAAGTAAGACTGAAGGGACTGAAGATTACATTTTAATTGGTCATTTGCAATTGGACATGTATGCTTGCATTTGTATTGTAATTTGGTCAAAATAGTATCATTTTGTGGTCAGAAAGAAATTTAAATGAGTTTGAAAGAAATAAAACAGGATTCTGAGACACATTATTGATGATACAACTTCTGTAAGAGATTGGTGTTTCATTGATTTGGGGGGATTTGTTGGGGTATTTTTCCTCCTTGTTGCTAATAGAATTCTATTTGAAAAACAATACATTTTCCCACAACATATCCAGTAAGAAATTAGTAGAGAGAAAAAAGTTTGATTTGGAACAAATGGGAGATGAGATAAAAGCAAACCATTCAATGTTCATCACTTGCAGCTGATGCGCAAGCACCTTTTCCAAGTGGTTATGACACTGCTGCAGAGTAATTTGATTTTCTAAATACCTTTCTTTAAGTGGTAACTGTTAAATTATCCTAATGTATTTTAAACCGAGAAAGTTGAATGTATCTTTGGAAGGCCACACATGCCAAAAGAAATTGATGTGCAGTTCCCCAGATCCATACAGGAGGAAGTTTCAGTGTGTCTGTGAGGTTTACAAGAGAGATGAGTTTAGGCATGGGGTGCTGTTAACGAATTAAAACTGTGGAATGTTGTCTATGAGATGCTCGTGTGCTGAAATGTGGGTCAGGAGCAATGGGGTAAAGATTATGTACTTTTGGGCCTATTCCTTGTAGTATCTCTCGAAGACATGCTTTATGTGCAGCAGTCTGAACGGACGCACAGCGTAGGGGCTGCTCAGCAGAAGGTAGCTGGGCTGGAGCCAGGCACCTACTGACCCTGATGGGAAGAGGATTAATGCTTTAGACTCTGAAGGTTGTTACTAAAATCAAGACACTGTGTGTACTTTAGTAATAGGCCCTGACAAGCTTTTCTGTGCCTTATCTTCTCTTGATAAGATTAGTGTAATACTTTCTCTTCTAGAAAGCTAAGAGCAATAAGTGACCTTCAGCTCATTTAAAACTCTGCTATAAGTACCGTCAGGGCATATGTTACTGATTAGAGCAGCAGTTTGCCTGCTCCATCTCTTAATAAAAGTGATTCTATTGCATATTGTCATTTAAGGCCCGTTATTCTTCACCTTCGAACTTACTGGGTTCTCTTGTCAAATTTTAACGTCACGGTGCTTGTATGTGCTCCACGTGCATTATTCCCAGTGACCCCAGCAGAAGACAGTGAAGGTTGCTCGCCTCGGCACTGCGAAGTGCTGAGCGCTCTTGGCTCGTGTTGACTTCTCTGACAGTGGAGGGTCTGCAAGGAGTACGCGTCATCGTCAAAGCTTGTTTGCCGCGCTCTATGCTGGGTAGACAGATGCTTTGAAGAATGAGCCTGAACATGTTCCTACCCCTTCTGCTGTAACTTAGGACATTATCTTTCTGAATGACTTGTATTCACTCAGAATTGCATCTTGTGATGAAATTAGCTTTGGGTAAAAATGTATTTCTGCTGTCACTTTGTAATTTCTTGCTTTTCAGTTTGATGCAGTGAACTTTTAGTTTGTGTGGCATAAAAACGTGCATAGAAGTGCCAATTCATTTCCAGTAAAATGCCCACGTAGTTCCTACAAATTGTTTCCTCTTTCCTTACGGAGCAGGACAGAGATTCCTGAGGGCCCTCTCACGTGTGAGTGCTCTGTAAAAATAGATGCCCCTGAAGTTTACAGTCGCTGTCAGATTATTGACAGGGGGATGGGAAGGTTTAGCCTTTTGATTCAGAACACAAGGAAAAAAAATACATCAGAACAAGTGGTTTTGCCCATATTTGCAGGAGGAGTGCAATATTTCACCTGGGGCAAGGTCTAAAATTATGCTTTCCCCTGTTTGGCAAGGCCCCATTGAAAAGGAGCCACTTCAGCAAAGCACCGGCGTTTACTTTGCTCCTTAACAACTCCTATGAAGCATTTGATTGTAAAATGAAAGCAATCTATCCTTTCAAATTTAGTTTTTAATATTTATTTGGCAGATCTGACCTCACAAGGGAGCCCGGTACCCTGAGCAGCCGCCCTTGCTGCTGTCTGACCAAGGAATAACACTGGAGTAAGCTGTGAAAGCAGCTTCTTGCCTCCATCTTCTCCACAGGAAACGCTCTGGTTGTTGCCAAGTGCAAACACTGGTGTGTTTTCACACGTTTAAATTGCTTGCAGGCAGAAAATTGTTGCAGATTCAAAGTACAGTTTTTGAAAACATGGTAATATTCAGGTAAAATTTGCATTCTTATGGTTGCTAAGAGGCTGTATCAGAATCCTGTTCCACCTCGAGTGCAGAATTGCCTGTGTCAGATAGCTTACACATCATATATCCTGTATATTACAAAGATTTGCTTGAAGCTCAGGACTTAACAAGCATAACACAGAAGGACTTTTGTACAAAGCTTGAAGAGTTAGTCCTTGGCCTTCGGCCAGGAATAAAGAATGCTTGCCCTTGTGCCATTTTGTCCTGTGCTGCTCCAGTTCTGGCAGCGGTTCTGCTTCAGTGTAATTGTTGGCACTGAAGCTCAGCTGAACCCTGAATGGCCTCTTCCTGCGAGCAAGCAGGGGCGCAGAGGTCCGAGACGGCATCAAAACTCCGTATTGATCAACTGTAATAGAGGACTCTATTATGAGAACTCTTCGTATCGGAGCCAAGCAAATTGACTACGGCGATGCAGTAGTAAAGTACTAAAAAAAGCCATAAAGAGTGTGAAGTAATTTTCAGTTTTTCCATGGGGTAATGGAGAGGCTAAAAGAATAAGAGAACAAACAGCTCCTTCTGGGACGGTCACTGTTTTGGCTATCTATCTGCAGTTGTTGTTGATCTCTCCTTCCTATCTGTGCTTAGTAGTAGAGTTTTTCATTCTCGCCTGGACCAGACACAGAGCATAGACACAGCTTTAAGCGATAAAGTGTTTTTTGTTGTTTGCAAAGGCTTGCTTAATCTTCTTTATTCTGCTTACTGTTCTTTAAAAAAAAAACTTTCCCGTTTCATTGAGGCAGATTTGGAAGTCAAACCAGAAACTTCAGACTCTACTACGATGGAAAGCACTTTGTTGGGGAGAAACGTTTTGAGTCCATCCATGACCTGGTGACAGATGGATTGATTACTCTTTATATTGAAACGAAAGCAGCTGAATACATTGCCAAGATGACAATAAATCCAATTTATGAACACATAGGATATACAACTTTAAACAGAGAGCCAGCACACAAAAAACACATGCCAACCCTGAGAGATGAACATGATGGCAAAGAGTCTACAGGAGAGGATGAGGTAGCAGAAAAGAGGGTAAGCAACTGTTAACCCACACTTTTTTTCTGTTAGACTTTTTATTTTGTACTTGTAAACCCTCCCCCTCTACTGTAAAGAGCTAAAGGTATCCGTAGATATTTAGTCTACATATATATTTCTAGTATTGCATTAATAGTAATATTTAAACTGGTTGTAGGGGTTTTTAACGGTAATTTTTGCATATTGCAAATGTCTGTGTTTTGGAGGTTAGTTATTTATCATTGTGAGGTTCCTTTCTTCAGGTATTTCCACAGTTATAGATGTTACCATTAAGCCACTCCTTTATTTCAAACGGACTAAGAGTATTTAATGTCAAAATTGTTTATGGTATCTAAGACGACTGCCCTTTGCTCAAAAATTATATTTCTGAATATATTCAGCATTCCCCAAACAAATGCATTCCATAATCTATTCAGCAGTCTGCATACAATGACAGTAAAGTTGTCCACATTATAAATAAGCCTGCTCATTAAGATGATAAAATGTTAAAACATTTCACTTGGCTAAGTTCAGCCTGTCAGAAGCTGACAGAGCTATTTTTGGCCTCAGTCAGACTTACAAAGAAGGATTGCTCTCTTCAGAGAGTTGCAATATCAGCTGAGAACTAACTGTGTCCTGGATTATAAAAGAAAAATGAACAAAAAAGAAATCTTAGAACCAGTGAAAATAGAAATATTAAAGGAGGTTGGGAATGTATCAGGCAGACAAAGCAGCTGCCTGAAACTTCATTTGTGTGACAGAGACTAAACTTAAAAAGAAAACATAATGTAAATTCCATCATGTTAAACTAAATACTTTGTTTATTGAAAAGCTGACATATGAAAGTCTTTTTTAATGTGTAGGTGTTAATGTATGTATAATAGTCTGATATGCCCCCCTATTTCACAAACTTCAGAATGGCATTAGGAATATCTAGTATGCTTATAGTGCTTAGAAGGAATGCTAATCTTAGCTGGGATCATCTGTTTGTCTTTCCAGTCAGAAATATGTCTGTGATTTCAGTTTTTCTTGAGGTGGAGGAAAGGTCTCACTGACAATTTCCAGCACACGCACACATGACTGTTATAATGAAACTAAGCTCCGTACAGAGGCCACAGGGAGAGGAGGCTCACAGCTTTGGTCCTTCAAATCCTTCTCCAGCAGTCTGTCATCCTGCACTGAATTTGCTCAGAGATGAAGCACCCAACTTAGCTTAAAGTATGAACCTTCACTGTTATCAGATCTTTTTGACAAAAGAAATACCGGTGGGGATATGGATGCTAGCTGGCTACGTTAAACATCCAATTTCTTGCCTGTTAGCTACCAGTAGTAGAGGGGTGAGTTACCAGTTATAGTTCCTGACAGCCACTGACTTGCAGCGTGCTGTTTCAAAAGGATTTTTTTGCATGTTATCATAGACAGTTCATTATAATGCAAAGCCGGGGTAACAACCTTCTGTAAGAATTTTGGAAGTCACTGCTTTGGGTTTCTTTGGTAAAATTAACTCTTCCTGCATTTGGCAATTTTCAAGTGACAACAGAACTCTGTTCTGTCACAACATTTTTTAGGCGGATGAAAATAAGTTTTCGTAGTAAAGGGATTTCAATTATTATTATTGAAGGATGCTGCTTTTTCCATCGATTACATGGTGTTATGTCAGGCTCATCAACAAGGTATGCCTATTGTTTTGAAACATTTTTCATTAAATAGTTCAGGAACTATTACACATTTCTCACAGATCGAAATTTTCTTTAGAGAGGTTAGTCATATAATTGCAGCATCCCACCCAGTTTGTCTGGAAGTTGTAAGCAACTAAAGTGGCTTCATCTGCAATATAGTTGCAGGTATGTTTAGCAACTCTTCAGCAGGGCCTGCAGCAATAGGACAAGGGGTAATGGTTTTAAACTAAAAGACAGCAGATTTAGATTAGGTATAAGGAAGAAATTTTTCACAATGAGGGTAGTGAAACACTGGCACAGGTTGCCCAGAGAGGTGGTAGATCCCCCACCCCTGGAAACATTCTAGATCAGGTGGAATGGGGCTCTGGGCAACCTGATCTAGTTGAAGATGTTCCTCCTCACTGCAGGGGGAGTTGGACTAGATGACCTTTAAAGGTCCCTTCCAACCCAAACTATTCTATGATAGTTCAACAGCAGTGGTGGTTACTGGCCTGAAGCCCGGCTTTTGTGCCTTTTCTCTTTATTTGTCTTGGAACCATATTGTTGTGGACACAATGAGGCACACAGACATCATAGTACAGTTAAATGTGGAGGTTTCAGTTTACTGTTCAAGTCATTATCCAGCTGCGATTACTACCTGTGACTACGTGGGGAAGACATGGTGTGATCCTGTTTACAGAGGTGATGTCTTTGCTGCTTTTACACCTCTCAGGGCCGTTGCCGGAAGATGACACAGAGAGTCCCGAGTGTCACTTCACACAGCAAATCTCCAAGGGGAGTAAGGCGTTCAGCCCCATGACCAACACCCAATCCCCGTAGCAACCTCAGCATTTGGAACAAGCCCCAGCGTCCAGCTAAGGCTTGCCCAATCCTTTCTCCCTCCTCTGTAAATCACAGGATGTGGGGAGCATGGGAAGGGGGAGAGACATGGTGGTGGCTTTGCCAAATGTCTCATGGGAGGTGGTGGCTATGTGCAGTGTAGGAGTGGTGGGGCGAGGAGACCTCGGAGAGCTTTCCCAAGTGTCTCCCATCGCTGTCTGGAGGACTTGGCTACTCGGGTGCCCACTAAAGCTGTCACCTTGACAGCCTGGGAGAACTGTTTCAGACTGAGTGGGCTGAATGTAACTGACCAGCTGGAGGACTGTACAGGCAGGTGACTGAATCACATCTGGTGGTTAATTTTATAAAAAAACATTGAAAACATGAGAGAGATACTTGTTTGACAAATAAGTGGCATTTAAAGCATGAGTATTGGATGACAGGAAATACTTCTCTGGCTTTTTTAAAAGCCTACCTACTACAAAAATTTAAGGTGCTAGCAGCAAGGAGCACAGGAGAGATTACATCTCCACTTAAACAGAAGACTCAATCTCTCTGCTAGTTTATAAGCTTTCCTTGGTAAAATAATAATAATGAAATAAGAAAAATATACATATCCTCTACTAAATTGCTCAGAAGGTCTTTTTATCCTTTTTGTGCAGGTTCCTGTTTCTTACTGATACGCATTTACCTTATTATGAATCCCTTAATCATGATATAAGGAAGCTTTCTTGTAGGACATTTATAAATAGGTCCAGTAGTTTTTCTTTCTCTTTGGTGGGAAGGATGGCAGAGTGATTCCTGTTGTCCAACATAAAAAGAATATCACTGAATCGATACTGACAATTCTAACAAAGAACACAAAGAAAATAGTCCAAAATCCAACACAAAAAAATGATGTCTTATGATCCAAACAGCAAAATCTGTGTGCTACAACTTTAACCCATTAGCCCCATGATGAGGATGAAAATTTCTGCACGGTACAGTATTTGGCAATTAATGTGTCTTTATCAGTTTTATACTGTAGCCACACAGCTTCTCCCTACAGTGTATGCTTCCTCCTCTGTAAAGAGAGGAAGAAGTCTGAGTCTTGAACAGTTATCATCCTGAGCCAAGATGCATTCCCAGATTTACAAGACTCTGAGGCTGTTGATCTGAATCTGAACTTCGTGCCTGCGACTGTTGCCCAGTCCTGTGTGGGTGGTGTATGAAAGAGAAACCCTTCAGAAAAAGGAAAGGAGGGATACACAGGCTCTGCCTAGGGAACAGCTGTGGGAATGTAATTTTGCTCTCTGCCATAAAATCAAGTGGAGGAACTTGGGCAGCCAGAGAACACATCCCAAATTTGAGAATGGAATAGCACTTCACGTAGCCTTGAATTTGGTGTGGGGCAGTAGCAGGGAACACCACAGATTTGCGTTAAATGCCTTCCAGCAGGCACTAATAATACTTTATTTGCTCCCCACTCTTTTCAGCAATTAATTTATAGTACCAATTGTTAGATGAGGGTTGTAAGACACAAATCACAATACCCCCGAGTCCTGCGAGAGACTCTGTTGTGTTGTGATTTAAGATGCGGTTTTTATTAGGAAAAGCATGAGAACGTAATCCACTGCATAGCGTGTGCTTCACTGGTTATAAGAAGGAATTTTACTGCTTACCATATACAAGTAAATATTTAAAATTATAACTAAAATTCCTGGTTAATGATTTATGATTTTCATAACCTGTGAAAGAACTAACAAATAGTCAGAGATGACTGGAGGAGGAGAGACTGAACATAGGAGAGTGCTTGTCATGCTCGAGTGCCCTGAATAGATATTTTAGCTGCGGTGCTAAAAAGGTAATGGTGGTTCCCTGAACAGCCTGCAGATTGTTCAGAACTCAATTGTGCAGCCATCGTGGTCTATGTGTTAAGAGAAGGCTAAGATTCGTTTGAAAGAGGGCTTCCCATGTGGATTCGGTCTGTATGGCCTACTGTGCAAGTGGAAATAATACCCAGTATCACAAGATTCACTATTCCTCACATGCCTTGAATACTGATGGATCTCTGAACATTCTCCACTCTCAAAGGTAATTATGGCCTTGGAGCAGATTACTTGAATCAGTTAAATACCTTATAAAAACGGTAGCGCTCAGGAATTAATGAATACCTAGATACATATATCAGTCCTTCTTGAAAGCCCTGCAAAGCATGATTTTTTTTTCATTTTGACATGCTTTTGAGATACTAATGTAAGAAGCTGTACGAGTGATTTATCCCAAGATTTAATATTTGTTATGAGAAAATTAAATAATCAGTTACGAGTTATCCCATCTTTCAGAATTAAATGCTGAGGTTAATGTTAGGATAGCATCTGAATCACATTTATTCATGTTTACTTTGGTGATAAGTGCTATTTCTTCAAGGAACTTCAGTGGCTGCAAATCAATTAAAGACCCATTTCTGGACTGTAGAACATTCAGTTCAATCCCTACAGACCAAAAGAATTGAGAGAAGGTTTGTGGCAGCAGTCACCC